ACGGGAAACGGCATTGTTCTTGCCGTTGTAGAATTATCGCGTTAAGTGGTGGCTACACCTACATTCAACGCCCATCAACGCGATAATCAACGGCATTTCTCGTTAGTGTAGCCCGGGCATCATAGAATATCAGCTTAATGTTGCTGTGTTTCGTATGGTGACCCTTTTTACTGGAAATGAGGCATTCCATCATAGTCCTCAGTGGTGACAACACGTCTGCATTTTGATTCTTAATTGAAGATAAATGTAGATGTTTACGGACTGCAGCATTCACTTACCATCAGGTGGACTGTGTGCTTGTTTGTCACCCTTTTTCTATATAAAAAACAGCAAATCGGCATCCGCTGTCCGCTTTAAAAGAGCATGCCGCTACTAGTAAAAATAAAAAAAATATGTGTATTCAGCATGTGATAGAATATTCTCTCAAATAAATTTAATTACGACAAAATACAAAACATTAAACAAGGCATTGGTGATCATGGCTATTACATTGAATCTAACCAGCGAAAGATATGTTTAATTTTAATTTAATAATAATATAGCATTTAAATGTGTATTTTCTTTTTCTTAGTTTAATACAATTATACAATGGTAGATAAAGTTGGCAGTATTTAGACATTTTTCACTACCTACCTTGGCAGGATTTGACAGGTTTTTAAGCAAAGTAAGGCAGGATCTGTATTTTAAAGATGGTCACACTGTTCCCATCACTAGACCCATCTGTGGTTTTGGCGGGAAATTGACCGGCGACGGTTTGCTGCTCCTGTATTATTGTTTAAATAATGGTTTGAAGTGGACTTTGATATGTAAAAGTGTTGCGATTTTGTGTATTAAGTGTCTACGCATGTGAACTATTAGTGGAAACAGTGAAACAAGTGCTCTGATGGTGATCGATTCTCAAGATAAGCTGTTTGTTTGCATAGGCACCTTTAGATACCATCGCCAACTATCAGCTGTCTGCTGGATCAAGTTGCCGCCAAAATCTCCCAAGAACTGCACAATGTGACGCATCAACATATTGTGAAGCAGTATACTATGAAGGAGTGGGGAAATTACAATAAACCGAATAAAAATACTTAAGACTTGGCCTAAAGGTCTAGATACCAGGCCATAAACTTCAAAAAAAAAAATAGACCCATCTGTCAAAAAGCTATGTTGTACAGGGTATAAGTTTATATTTTATATTAAATGTTTACAAATGATATAATATTTTAATTAAATATATTATTTCATATCTATATATTTCTATTAGTTAAAAGTTTAATGTGGTATTTACGAAGACAAATATAATGCACTTTGGACAAAGATCACAAAATCCATTAAATGTAAATTTGGTTTGTGATAATTACACGATAAATGAAGTTACTTCTACCCGTTTTCTTGGATTAATTATAGACAGTAAATTAAATTGGAAAGAACACATTAACGTATTATGTAAAAAAATCAGCAATCTTTCATACGCCCTTCATAAACTTGCTCCAACTGTCAACACTGATACGCTTTTTTCGGCATATTATGGTCTTGTTGAATCTGTTCTCAGATATGGCATCATTTTTTGGGCCAACGCAACTAACACAGATATGGTATTTAAAATGCAAAAGCGATGCATACGGGCCATGTTTGGTATTCAAAGTACGGAGAGCTGTAAGCCATTATTTATCAAACACAAAATTCTCATACTTCCATCACTATATATATTGGAAATAGCTTTATTTGTTAGAAGCAACCCACAATTGTTTCCTCGCCTATCAGACAATGTAAGATGTAATCGTCGAGACAACAATAGACTATGTGCTCACCCTGCTAAAACAGTGCTACTGTGTAAAAGTGTAGTATGCAAAGCTCCATTAACACATTCATCACCACTACGATTTTCATGATGTCTTCTCGGATGCCGTCTACATTTTACGGTTGACTCGCCAGGCGAGTCGCCGGCACTGCAATATAAATTGAATCGACTCGCCACGCGAGTTCACTGGCACTAAGTAAGGGTAAATTCTATGTTTTGTAATTTTTGTGGCCGTCACAGTGTACTTAACGTGTTTAACGCAATTAAAAAGTGTTTCAGGACTATTCGGCTTGTAAAAATGGCAAAAAACTCTTTGGATAAAATAAAAGGTAGTTTGTTTCGTAATTTAAGCAGTGGTTGTCAATCTTTTAATTTGTGGTTATTGTTAAGGTTATATTTTGAATTTCTAATACTTGTGAATAGACAATTTTACCATGAAATAATTTAATATATATATCCTTCCCCTCGGACTCTCGAAGAGACCAGACGTGTGTGGTTTAGTTAGTTAAATACAGTTAACTTATGTTAAATTCCGACAAAATCAAATAAATAATTACCTAGGAGTGCATAAAAGTGAAGAAGTGTTCACTAACTCTCAACACTAGTCCTACTAAATTCCCATGCAGCTGTGTGAGTAAAAGCCTTATTATTGAAGTGTTATAATTTTTTTTGCAAATTAATAAATAAAAAAAATTAATAAATCATTGCGTCATTGAATAAAACAGGGATAACGTAAATGAATATTGTATGCACAGGACGAGAGATCAAGTGATATAAGACGGAAAGACCTTTTGTATAAGAATCGTCGATCAACGACCAGTTGCTTGACCTCTAAGCAAATAGTAACGAAACATTGAAGCTTGCAATAAATACGTAATACCTGATTGTTTATATTGCTCTGGTACATTGTTTTAACGTCGCTTTATGATTTCTCGCTCGACACCGCAGTCTACTTCGCAGCCGCAGAATATTGTTGCTACTAGCGCGACCGACACCTACGTCTCGACGGCGGCCATCAACTTTACATCGCAAACACTGCCATTCAGACCCAAATATTTATTCCGATTCCGATGGCCAGCCAAACAGCTTACCGTACCAAAAGAAAGCGTGAGGATGAATTCGATACATTTAAAATTGATGTTAATAGAATGTTTAAGGAACTTATTCGAGAACAACAACAACAACAACACGCACGCACGCCCACACACATTCTTTATCTACTTTTGATTGGAAATAAACGATTATTATTATAATACGGGCTTTCAGTTTTAAGAATATGGTATGTATTATTTTTATTGTGAATATTAGTTCCATATCACAAGTATGTAGGTAGTCCATGCTACTATGTTGACGTCGTTATCTAACATGTAAATGGTTGAGGATCTATGTCAGGGAACTCGCCTAGCGAGTTCAAGGCATTGCAGAATAGTTTGTTTCCTTTCAAATTTAAACGGAGTCTCCACACCCGGCCCACCACGTAAATCTTTAGTTTAGCATATATTTAGTCTAAACTATAATTTTAAGCAGAAAATACGGATGCATTTTGGAAATATTAGTGAAAAACACTGAACTCGCCAGACGAGTCGTCGGCACTGGAATAAGATTTACGTGAACTCTCCGGGCGAGTCGGTGGTACTGAATGTGTTAATATATAACAAAATTCCAAACGACATTAAACAATTGAATACAGGATTATTTAAGAAAACATTTAAAAAAATATTAACTGCAAAATGCTATTATAATGTTAATGACTTCCTTAATGACAAATCTATATAAATGTAAAAAAACTAATTTAATTACTATTTACTACTTTATTATATACATTGTTAATATCATTGTATTGTTAATAATGCCATTGTATAATTATTTTTGATGATTTTTTTACTTGATGATGATGACATTATTTAGTAGATATTATACTTTTTGTCATAACTCATTAATTATCTGTTACAGCTATTTTTATTTTCAATTTTTTTCATATTTGTACACCAACTATGGTCAAACATGTTGATTCAAAGTTATAACTTTAAGACCAATAATAAACAACAATTGTATTATTATCTACACATGTTTTTGCAAATAAATATATCTTTATCTTTACCAAGTATAACATTAAAATAAAATAATTATTGTAATGTGTCTTAAAAACACAAATTAATAAGGAGTGCTAGCGCTACAGAACACTAATACCCTCTAGCGCAGTCTTAATGTATAGTTCATGCTTGTAACATGCATGCTTACATAAAAATTTGAAGTTTTTACGATTCTGTGCCTCTATTAGATACAACCAAAAACTTAAAGGATATAACCCATGCAAGGCAGGCAAAGTACACAAAAGGATAACATACTTATGGCTACTTGGTGGCTGGAATTTCGAGCCATAACACCTTTTTTTGGTTATTGTCGTTTTTAAAATTGTTCTTGAAATAGAATAGAATAATTTTTATTCAATATAGACTACATGTAATTCTCTTGAATAATTTTCTTGAAAAACCTGTTCTGTGAATCATTTTTATATGTGGTAGAGCCATGCTGCAGCTATATTAGTAGTATAGTTGTAGCACGAATGGGTTGGCTCGACCGGGGAAGGACCACATTCTCACAGAATACCAGTATCAAATAGCAGATTATCACTGCTGTGTTTCGTATGGTGAGTGTAGAGAACCAGAGACCCTTTTTACTGGAAACGAGGCATTCCATCTTAATCCTGCTTTTGATTCGCAAACGAGGATAAATGTGGATGTCCATGGGCCACAGCAACCACTTACCATCAGGTGGACTGTGTGCTCATTTGTCACCCTATACTATATACAAAAAAGCAGCAAGAAACCCAACGGAACATTTTTAAATAAAATTTACTTACAATATATCATTTTAGACAATAACTATGAAGACATTAAAAACAGCTTGGTAGCATCAAGTTCTTCAACAACCCTTAACACAGGACACTTCCAGTAGAGACTTACAACATTCAACTGTCGCTTTAATTTATTATTAATTAATTAACTAATGACGGTTCATATAATGCCACAAACAAATCATAAAGAAAATATTTTATAAATAAAACTACCTACAGTTCTTTGTTTTAAATCCATTTATTATAAGATCTCATCACCTAAAATATTTCATGGTTGAAGGTGCGTGCACATACAAAGAAATAAAAAAGAAAAAGGCAGAATGTCTGAAAATTGTAATTAATTTAATCGCCTACTTATAGCGTAGGTGCCACCATTGCTATTGATGTAAGTTGGGAAATTATACTACCAGCAACAACGTTGCCGTAGTACGCCTGGGCAGCAGCGGCAGTACTTCCAGCCACGATGCCGCCGCTGCTGAAACCCAGCAACGGTGCTATTAATGGGGCTCCAATGCCACCAGTTCCATAAATTACTGCTCCACCGACAATGTTAACAGCGAGAGCGGCCAACAAACCCATTTTAGTCTGAAACAAATGTTTTTCTTTGATAAGCCTATACGAAATTCTTATAAGCATCAGAATATTCACAATTTGTGTTTTGCACACACATAATGGCGTCGGCTGCATCTATTAATAAAGCTTCTGAAATACGAGATAAACCATAGTATCGAAGAATTAAAGCCGCGACTTCGAAGCTATTATGTACAAATTATTTTAGTTCTTTGAAGTTAGTTTTTCGTTGGTTCTTTTGAATGTACCAAGCAACATCACAAGTTTAATGTAACAACTAGAATATCATCTAAATAATTACATTAAAAATAAAAAAAAATTCAAAATTTCAAGTCAAAGTGATTGTGGGCAATAACTCTACTTACATAAACAAGGAATATAAATCTTTGTTCACTGAAGCATTTTGATGGATCTGTTATTAACTAAATACCAAAGATGTTTTATAGGTCAAAACATCTTTGCTAAATACTTAGTTCTGTTCTCTACTACGGCTATAGGACGGAGATGAAACTGAGTACGGCGTACAACAATTATTTCCTAATAAATAAATCTTGTAACAAAATAAATACATTATAAAATAAAAATAAATGCTTACAGGTAGGAAGAAATTTATCCAAAACAGCAATGAACCGACCGTATGAACACGCCACACGGTCACGTAACTACTTGTACTTAATCACTTAAAGTACTTGATCTAGTATATATACAGTAATCTATGTACTTGATTGTGTTGTGATTGTCAGCTTCAGCTTGCTTGTGCTTGTGTGCTTTTCTTTAAAACTTCCCATAAATAATATACAATATACATTATTTACACATAAATTATGATACTACTAGTATACTGTATGCTCTCAACTTGTGACAGTGCTGCCAATTTAGGTTTTTTTTGTCTAAAGCATTTTATGGCTCCAGTACACGTTAACAGAGTACGCTCGCCGAGTGCGTTCGGCCCAGTTCGGCCAACGCGTAACCGCAACGATGCAACGCAATAACTGCAACACGGAACACGGTCTTCTTTAAGCGTCCACTCCATATTTAAAAATGAGTAAAATTCTAAAAAGTATACAGTTTTATTTTCATGAACAATTCGAAATTCGAATTCAATAAACTTTTTTTGTGGCCAGCATTCTAAAATAAAAGTTTTTACTTTGTGGCAATACTTATGACCTGACTAGGTATTTTTTGACCTTCGATATTGAGTGAAATATCAATCGGCACAAATGTTCATTACATTAACTTATTTAAAAAATGAGTGTAAAGTTAACCTACAATGTATTCCTTTAGTCACTAAATATATTTGAAAATTTAAAGGTAGTAGTGATAACTCTTACAATGGAATTGTTTTATTGGATTCCACTAAATATTCACTGATACTAATAACGTTGTAAAAGGAAATACCCGAGACTAAAGCAATTTTCGCAAATATGGCAACATTTGAAAATTACAGGGGAATCCCTTTTTTTCAATAGACAATAATGTACTCTATTAAACTGTCAATAGCTTGTTTTATTAAGTTATGTGCCCTCTACTCTTTCCTTTGTATAAGTATACGTATTACCCGGTCGTTCTGTGTTACTTTTTACAGTATAAAAAACTGCACATTGCTTGTATATAATTGCGCCATCGTTAAAAAGGCATTAAATGCAATGATCAGCTCAAAAATTTTACTAAAACCAAATTTGTTAAATGTCGATTGGGTGCATTCAAAAGAAAGGATACAGTTTTTTATACTGTAAAAAGTACCCAATTCTAAATATTTGAAGTAATATCGACTCGATTTAAAATACGTCTGCCAGTATTATTTTTATATATATATACTCCAAATTCATAGGCTGGTGGTTAGGCTGAGGAGGGGGGGAACGACCGTCACGGTGATACCGTAAAGTGGGGCTTTTTGAGACTCCCGGGACTATTCACAACATTTGTAATAAAAGATTTGATCGAATATATTTTTTCTTAGAAAAAGCCACAGTAAAAAATCATCGTGGCTTTGTCACGTTGATAACGTCGGATACTTGGAACATTAGAACAACTTATAATATAATGTGGATTTCGATTTGTTAGGTTTTATTTCAGTAGTCGTTTTTTATTTCCTTCCTTACCTAAGTTGCGTGGGTATTAGGAATTTCACCTAGCCTAGCCCATCATTTTAATCTGTGGAGAAAAGGTTAAAGAGAAAGGGTAAATACGAGTTTTGGCGGGAACTTGACCGGCGGCGGATTGCTGCTCCTGTATTATTGTTTAAATAATGGTTTGAAGTGGATTTTGATATGTAAAAGAGGTGCGATTTTGTGTTCTAAGTGTCTGCGCGTGTGAAATATTAGTGGAAACGGTGAAACAAGTGCTGGTGATGTGATTCTCAAGATAAGGTGTCTGTCTGCTTAGGTGCCTTGAGATACCATCGCCAACTGTCAGCTGTTTGCTGGCTCAAGTAGCCGTCAAAATCTCCCAAGGGTTGCACAATGTGACGCATCAACATATTGTGAAGCAGTGTACTATGAAGGATACATTGTAACTTCAGGCTCAGAAGGGCTAGAACCCAGAGAAAATTGGATAAATCAATTCTTTTTTAAATGTTATTTATAAGAATTATACAACTAAAATTTTATTAGAATTAGTTTCGTTACTAAATTATAAACCCTCGGCAAGGGTTAAAAAAATTCTCAAAAGTGTTTGCGAAAGCAATGAGGGCTAGTAATTTTCTGCTCACCAGATGTCGCTAGTTGACACTGAGGTAAAGTTTTTTGTTACACAGTGTAATTTAATTGAGAAGTTGGTTGTTATTGTTCTTTAATTTTTTTGTACATTTTTAACTTTTTTTTTAATTTTTCTACTTTTACGAATATCTGTGGTTTGGTTTATTTATTTTTAATGTTATTAATATAAAATATAGCTAAAGGTACAAAAAGAAACAACAACTTTTACATTTCCCGAAAAAATTAACTTCCCCACTATGAAATCTGTCAAATATTATACATCACTTTCTATTGGCGACGCACTGGTGGCAGAAAGAGTTCTTATAAAAATGTGTAGAGATTAAAATTTTACATAAAAATGGTTGGATGATTTTTAGATTTAAGTTTAAGGGATGAACGTAAATTTTAAAAAATCGTACCTAGGGAGTACAAAAATAAAATATAAATTTTATTTAATTAAAATTTTAGAGATACAAATTTTTTTATTGTTAAAAAATATAACGATTTGAAATTTTTAAATTGAAATTTGAATGCTTAAAATTTTTATATGATTATGTATATTTAGATTCCTCGTAAAATTTCCTAAATTTTACGATTGAAAAAGAAAACTTTCCTAGTATATTTGAATTTATACAGGTATAAAATCTTTTTCAAATCCTACGCTGTATTAAGTCCCGAGGTAAAAAGAGAGGACTATTGATTACTCGTATACTACGTATGCCTACTTTTATACTTATATACGAGGTCTGAGTAAGAGTGAGAAGGCATTATCAGAGAATCATAATTCTCGCACTCTATCTATTTTACGATCTGTTCATTAAAATAGATCGGGTTATTTTTGCCTACTTGGTGATTGAATCCGAAAACAGGAAATAAATTTTTTAATATTTTTTTTTAAATTAAGTAATTTTTATAAATAAGTTGAAGATTTTTTTAATTTTTAGTAAATACATTGATTCCAAATTTTATGATTCGTGAAAAAATTACTGTTCATGTTGGGATTGATTTTGAAACAACATATTTTTTTATAAACATTAATTAGGCTTACAAATTATAAAAACAGTAATCCCTACATGTCAAGTTAGTTTTTTGAATCGGATTTAAATCGAGCCAGATATACAAAGGAAATGGCATAAAGGAAACAAGTTTATTCATTAATAAGCAAAAGTGAAATATATGCAAAAACATATTTTCGATATTTATAATGTATTTTTTTTTGTAGGGGTGACAAACGAGCACACAGTCCACCTGATGGTAAGTGGTTGCTGTGGCCCATAGATATCCACATCTATCTTCGATTACGAATCAAAATGCAGATGCGTTGTCACCCGTGAGGACTAAGATGGAATGCCTCGTTTCCTGTAAAAAGGGTCTCCGGTTCTTCACACTCATACGAAACACAGCAGCGTTAAGCTGCTATTTTACGCTGGTATTCTGTGAGAGCGTGGTCCTTCCCCGGTCGAGCCGAGCCATGCTGCAGCTATATTAGTAGTATAGTTGTAGCACGAATGGGTCGACTCGACCGGGGAAAGACCACGCTCTCATAGAATACTAGCGTAAAATGGCAGCTTGACACTGCTGTGTTTCGTATGCTGAGTGTAGAGAATCGGAGACCCTTTTTACTGGAAAAGAGGCATTCCATCTTAGTCCTCACGGGTGACGACGCATCTGCATTTGGATTTATTGAAGATAAATGTAGATGTCTATGGGTCACAGCAACCACTACTATCAAGTGGACTGTGTGCTCGTTAGTCACCATATCATATTAAAAAAAATCATCATCGCCGTACAGTATTATTCTTTCGGCAACTTCATATAATGTATCAACTGAGCTACTTTGTTCGTAAAAACTGTTGCTGTAGCTCTGGTTCTTCTTTAATAAAGAGATGATGCTTTTTCCGCTTTTTTGAAGATAGCGCTTGTTGTGTCGCAGCCGGCAAATGCAAGTGCAAAAGCAAAAATGATTTTAAATCTATCGTGCAAAAAGTATAAGACAAGGCCGTAATTACGGATTTGTCTTTAATCTATGTTGTTCAAAGATTAACAGCGTTTACTTTCTAATTTAATAGTAAATTGTGATAATGGTGGCTCGGCGTACACACAGATAAATGCATAAGCTGTCAACTTTCTGCGGGCGCCATGACACATGAGGGGGACTAACTCAAACCAAATTCCTTTCAAACATTGCAAACAAAGAGATGTTTGTTAATTTATTGAGTAATTATTTGGAACAGAAGAAGATAAACTGTAGTATTGCCGAGGATGATGCAGATCTTTTGATTTTTAGAACAGCTATTGAATTGAAAGCAAAATCTGCAAATCAACCTGTTACGATAGTTGGAAATAATGTTGGCTTACTAATTTTATTAATATCCCTTTGTTCAGATTCTGACTTTCTATTTTCTCAAAAAAAGTCCTGGAAGAAATGCAAATATTCTGTATTGAACGCAGAATAACCGAGATAATTAATAGAATCAGGCGTTACTTTGCGGAAATCCATTATAAGGACGTTGTTATAACTTAATTTGCTTAATTCCGCGTAAAGAAAGAAGATGATGTGATACCCGTCACCGCCAATTCCAGCACCACCACTCTAAGAACGACACACAATTCTCGTAAATACGACACGCGTTTCGCCTCTACACGAGGCATCCTCAGGTGGAGTAGACTCTGCGGAGGCTGGCTACAAATGAGCGGCAAGTTTTTTATTTGCGCCCCGAAGCAAATGAAAAGGGCTACCCCGTTAACGCGAGGAGGTGGTAAATGCTTTATGCATACCACGACGGTCGGTCTGTCGTGGTTATGCGGGACTCACTGTGACTAACCTAACCACCCTAAGTGTACCCGCTAAAATCCAACTGTGGGACTGGCATTGGCTTATTAGGCCTTTCTGCCGAATCGGAAGCGACCCTCTTTTGGGAAAAGAGCTACGAGCCGCTAAGGGAGAGCCTACTAAGGCAAATTTAAGAAGAGTCAGCCTGAGCCACCAGGAGGCACTTCAGATCGGTTGAAAGTTTATTTGGCGGGTCCGAGAGAGAGTTTCTCGATAGCGAGAGGGGAGTGGGGCTGCATAAGTAGCTGCCTCACGAATTAATTGATTGGAGTGAGACTCTGAGGCTTTGAAGAAGTTCTCAGAGAGTGTTTTAAGAAATTGTTGAATTGAAGGGAGCCCTAAGTCCACATGGACGTCGGCGTTACGGACGTACCAGGGTGCGTTCGTAGCTCGACGACAGAAGAGGTTTTGAACTATTTGGAGTTCACTAATAATTTTGGGGTCAGCGTGAGCAAATATAGGGACCGCGTAAGACATAACTGGTCGTATACAGACCTTATAAAGGGTTCGCTTGTTCCGGAGGGAGTTGAGCGGCAAGTAGAAACAGCTGCTATTTATACTACTTGCTGGTACAACAGCGTTCCAACACTGACTTTTTTTGTAGTTATGGGAATTTGTTATCATTGATTCCAATGACAAGTTGGACTGAAGTTATAGAACATACCGTAAAACGAATATCCCAACGTAGTTTTTTGCAGTACCAGCGGGTGTGAGTAGAGATGTATAGATAGCGCCAGTATGCGAGCGAGAGGTGAATAGAGGCGCCGCCACTTTCAATCCCATTCTTTAAGCGTACGAGTAGTACTTAATGTTTTTCGGGGGATTTAAAAAAATATATTGGAGTAAAGTTTTGGTAGGAGTTGGTAGCACTATATTCTTTGTCGGTGCTGTTTTTTAATAACTGGTGCTGTTTTTTTATAACTGGCTTTACGGCTCTGGGTGCTAACCCTTCTGAGCCTGAAGTGACAATGTATAATTAGCCTTCGTAGTACTTTGCTTCACAATATGTTGATGCGTCACATTGTGCAGCCTTTGGGAGATTTTGACGGCAACTTGAGCCAGCAGACAGCTGACAGTTGGCGATGGTATCTCAAGGCCTCTAAGCAGACAGTCACCTTATCTTGAGAATCACATCACTATCAGAGCACTTTTTCACCGTTTCTACTAATAGTTCACATGCGCTGACACTTAATACACAAAATTGCACCACTTTTATATATCAAAATCCACTTCAAACCATTATTTAAGCAATGATATAGGAGCAGCAATCCGCCGCCGGTCCAGTTCTCGCCAAAACTTAAAATTCTAACTGGTGCTGGCTAAAACTAAAACATAGATTACTGAACATGCGTAAACATCATATTAGTCTGTGTTACTGAACTAAAAGTTGACCACTAATGGAGTTTCATCATCTTAACTTCAGTCTCAGAAGGGCTAGAACCCAGAGCCGTAAAACGACTAATTCCTGTGTTTGTTTGTCGCACAGACTAACTGACTAATACAATCCTCTATCTACGGACTAATATGATACGTGTTTCTATATTTTTTTTTTGGAGTTTATGGCCTGGTATCTAGACCTTTAGGCCAAGTCTTGAGTATTTTTATTCGGTTTATTATAATTTCCCAAATGTATAATTATCTTTCATAGTTCACTGCTTCACAATATGTTGATGCGTCACATTGTGCAGCCCTTGGGAGATTTTGACGGCAACTTGAGCCAGCAGACAGCTGACAGTTGGCGATGGTATCTAAAGGCGCCTATGCAGACAAACAGCTTATCTTGAGAATCCATCACCATCAGAGCACTTGTTTCACCGTTTCCACTAATAGTTCACATGCGTAGACAGTTAATACATAAAATCGCACCACTTTTACATATCAAAATCCACTTCAAACTATTATTTAAACTATAATACAGGAGCAGCAAACCGCCGCCGGTCAATTTCCCGCCAAAACTCAGTGTTTGAAACACTGTGTTTCTATATCATAATCATGGAGTATAGAGTAGAAGGAGGACCATCTCTGTATATGAAAAGTGACCGTAAAAACGCGTCCAATAAGGGTGGCGCTACGGTAGCATAGGATAAATTTAAAAAAAAGCGCCAAAAGTAATTAGAATAAGATGGAGAAATAAACAAGGACCGACCAATCCACTTGCTTTTGGCGCACTTTTCAAACAATATATATGGTCGGAGTAACATATGATATTATGATTTATAATCATAAAGGGAATATAAATTTAAAATTAAAAAAGCGTCGTTTCATAATCAAATTAACAAACGTTTAAACTATTTTTTTTCAGTCAGAAATTGTAATGCGGAAAATTTGAGGGAATTACAAGTAAAATTTGAAATTATTTTAACTTGTTAAAAATTTATTTGTTGAAAGAAAAATAAGTCTTATGGAATAAATAAGGTGTAAATGCAAAATAAATCAACAAGCGGGTTATTCAACGATTTATATTATTAAATTATATAAATAAACGATTACATTTTCAACAATAGTATTACGGGAGTCGCAGGAAGAGTAATCACACTTGATTACTTGTTGTTTGCTTTACTAGTGCTCACAACACGAATTGCATTCAATAATTATTGCAATCGTTTTTATGTTTTTATAATATCGCACAATGGTGGTAGCCTATCCCTATTACCTATCAAAACTGAACTTAGCACAACAGTTTGATTGTGTAAGAATTATACAATGCAAATACTTTTTAATATGAAAATAAGTAAAACGCTGTTATAAATATTACTGATGAGTGAATTAATTCTTTGTAAATATTTCAAATTCTAAATTAGAAATAAACTGAGAAAATTATCTATGATAATTCTTATAAGCAACACAATGACTTCATAGCGTTTATTTTCAGATTTAGCCAAAAAATAGGATCTCATCACTACATAAAAATCAATAATTTTAACAGTCAGTTCAGTTTCATGTTGAAAGCAACCTACTCTTAGCAAAACTTCTTTTTTTAGCTCTCGCGATATTTGACTTATAGTGTCAACATTGGTTAGAGTTTTACTAATAGTTCTCAAAACACACTTTTCTAATTGTTTCGTTAAATCAAATAATTCATTGCTTGCATATATGAGTCCACCATATAAATCCATTTTATTAATGACATCATTTCTCTGTAACTGTCTACCATCTCCCGCTTTCATTTGTAAAGCTTGTAAGCAATTCACGCACTTCGTAGTGTTTCGCAATTTGCGGACTATGTAACCAGCAATGTATGATTGAACGGCATCGCTGGTTACAGCCTCATTGTAATCGTGGTCTTCATCGATTAAAGAACCTTCTAATAATGGTTCAGATCTTTCAACCATAATATCAATATTTTGAAGCCATATTTCCTTGTCTTTATTGGGAGAAGTTAAAATTCCTTGAGCTCCTAATAAAGTTTTTAGCAGGTCTTTCCCTGATACATTACATCCTTTTGGAGGACGTACGAGAGAAAAACAAGAAGCCAAACGATACACTTGTGCAAACATTTTTGGATCAGGGTGGTCGTTTCCTCCACACGAATGTCGCATTACAGAAAAGAATCTCTGAAATTCCAAATAAATAATTGTTTATAAAGAAATAAAATGAGTGAAATCAATTATAATTGAATATAAAATTGTATATTGTATAATTACCTCTAAAGGATCTTGTGACAAAGTTGCTGTCATTAAATACTCATAATTACATTCCATGTATAACATTTTCGATATTTGTAGTGTTGCGTGCAATGTTACTTTTAATCCTAGTAACATACTCCTTGATACAGGTTTTTTTTTTCTACTTTCTCCCAATCTTCAAGAAATTGTAAGAAATCCAAAATTGCCTAGAAAAGTATAATTCTAATTAGTTGTAAGGCCTTTAAAACTTCAACAAAGCATGGATCCAAAAACAGAAAAATATTACTCCTGTACAATTTCTGTTGTTTCTGTGAACATTTGTAGTTTAAATGACATGCAGCATCTAATAGAATTGACAATGATAACAAATGTCATGCAGAAAATACTACAAAATTCAGTAGTTGGTAAAACATTTAAATGTTATGTATTACTAAATAAATGTCCTTACTTGTTTTTGACAGCAATCTTCCTTCACATACAGAGCTTTTTTTGGCTCGCGTGATGACATAGCTTTTATTAATTTATAAACAACATCAATAAATTTTTGCGTTGGTGTAGAATCTTTTAATTTGTCGCAAACAGATTGGTAATGAGCCATTGCAACTGATACTTCATGACCAAATACCTAAAATAAAGTGAATAAAAATAATATAATAAAAGCAAACAAGCGTCTGGATCTAAAATCAATCATAGTCTTTAGTCTATTCATTCAATACAAAAAAAATATACTTGAAAAAATGTACATACTTGTGTTGCAAGAGGCACATTCATTGTCTGAAAGCCTTTAGGTTTTAAATGGGCAGGTGTCAATTTGTAGGCAATTTTCATATTGGGCTGACGATAATTCTCCTCTTCTAAGAGAGCTTCCCAATGCTTCTTTTTGACTATTCCATAAGGGGTCTGTAACATCAATAACACTATTTATAAGAATCTTCTGTGCTTCTGTTTACTGGATATAGCATTACTTTTTATTATACCTGGAATTCCTGTAAATTGTCATCCAAAGTAGATGTTCGGAAGCATTTTAATAAATGATTAAAATCCGAAATCATCCACAATCGTCGTGACCTATCATAAGGATGTTCACAGCTAATGTTTTTGTCGTCAATACCGAAAATTTTCCAAACCCCTCTATTCCACGATGCACCATCCATAACTACAGCATCAATGCAGATTCCACTATTTTCCATAAGTACAATACACTCTAAAAGAAGCTTATGAAGTGGTTCGCTTTTGCAAGCATTCCTAGAAAGGAAGCAGCCTAAAGCTTGAACCCATCTACCTCTGAAGGGTACAAACTTAAAAACTAAGGCATGATCTGCTGTCTTATTTTTCAAGTCTTCCGGGGTGTGCTGTCCAAGATTTACAAAACTACTAAATTTCATAGAATGTTGATCAAAATAAACGCCTTCACTTAGTTTCATTTCGTCGACCAAAATGACTCCATGTTTCTCTCCTTTTATCATTGCTTCGTATCTTTCTTTTAGACTATGAAAAGGAACCGGTTGAAATCCGTAAGCAGAGCCACAAATTTTTCGAATGAATTTACTCAATGTTTCTATAGATGGTAGCGGTAAAATATTTCTACTACGCAAAAATCTATATGTATTTCGATTCTTTAAACGTATCAACAAGCATTCATAAATCCATTCTAATGTGTATCGTCGTCCTTTTGATGTTTTTTTCTTTGCAGCTTCGAAACAGGAAATTACAACAGTTTGAAATTCTTGTGGTAAATTTTTAATAGCTTCTTGTAGTACAGCCTGTGATTTTTGAGCACACTTAGACTTCGCCATAAAAATTTTTTCTTTTAGCCGACTTTTCTGTAAAGAAAAAATAAAATATTAACATCGCGGAATAACAAAAACATAAAATAAATTGTGCCATATTACAGAGTAGATAAAACAATTGGATCTATATTACTGATTAACCTAATTATTTATAGTGCAATGGCAATCATCCTTCGAGGCTTCAATTTAATTAAGAAAAAATTAAAATTCTTAAATGAGTAGTATAAATCTTATTCTAATAATATTGCACACTTAGCAACATCATTAACTTCGAAAACTACAATTTAAAATTACATTTGTTCACATATAACTATAATATTTAAAGTTATTATTTTATTTATAAAACAATCAACTATGTTATTGATTAATTAATCTACATTATTTAATAAGAAGAAAGATTTGGTATAATAATTTTATTCATATGTGGTTGGTATGGTACAAAATTTATGTTCTGTTATATATAATTATGATTTTCTAAAGCTCATTTAACAATGTATAAATCATTTATATTAGAACAACATATTAAATGTACAATTTTTATGTAAAAACAGTTACTGTTGTAAATAAAAAATTAATGAACAATTAATATATACATTATGAATACTTCACCAAAAGATTTAATTTAAAACTCATATGTACATGATCACTATTTTTCCAAAAAGATATGTGGATGTAAAATGATAAATAAAATGTTTGAAAGAAAGTACGTGCAATACCTTATTACCCTGAAGATAAATTTTTGCAATTTTCATAGAGCTTAGACGTTTTCAATGAAATAAAAAAAAACTTACCATTCTTTGTAGACGTTTGTTTTGTTTAACAAGGTTTGAAGCACGCCGTTTTAGAGCTGTCGTTTTCTCTAAAATAATTGAAGTTCATTTACGGCTTTGTAAGCGTTTCCGTAAAATGCGACATGATTTACATCTTGGATTTCTTTGGTAAGCATCGCCACTTATAATCACACCTTTACACAATTTTGAGTACCTGAAAATTTATGTATTTTTTTTTAAGTATTATAGATGTGTAAAACTTTTTATAGTTCCATTGTTTTATGTGTAAACAAATATTCTTACTTATTACTGTCTATTTGAGTACCAATGCATAATGGCCATCTTTCTACAGATTTTAAGAACTCACAAAGATGTTTGAAAGAATTAATTTTTACATAAAGCGGCAGTTCTTCATCATTAGAAATAATAAAGGCTTAGCTTTCCATTGACGTCAGTCGAGTTTGGTGTTGATACGTATTTTTACAGAAAAGTTACGCGTTTCCGCATGTTGAAACTTTGTGTGTGTGCTTTACTAACTACTATATTGTCATGAAATTTTTAAATATTTGAATTCAGCTAACTTCATTCCGTCTATCAACAACAGCTATATTCATATCGTAGTTTTTCAGACGCCAGCGCTATTGTGGTAGGTTTTGGAACCTCTATTTTCAGTAAACAGTTGGACACTTTTTCAACTTTCCCCCCATATGAGATGGTTCTCCTACTCTATACTCCATGATCATAATGTATGGGACCTATGCGGCATTAATAACAGCAGCGCCATCGAATAAATTCGCAGAAAACAACGTCGGCTTCGCAGATCGATGTAGTACTTGATAAACCGCGTAGATAGCGCGGTTACAAAATTATTTATTTGGTCATTTGTTTTACCAGATTTCTACCATAAAATTGCCAAGTTATTTGAAAACCTCTAAAATGAGAGTATTCACCAATTGATTTTGTATCTATCTACGGTTTTAAAATACTATGTTGCTTTTTTTAAGATTTTCTTCCGATTTTGTTAATTTGGGAATTCTCAGAGTTTTCCAAAAAATCGTTCTATAGACGGCGTTTTACAAACTGGTAGTTGTACAAACTGGTATAAAGAAAAATATTGATTACGTTTGATCAGTAAATAAACTTGATTAAAGCATCAGCAACAGTTATCTTTTTTTTTTCAACTTATTATAAGCCAGTGCTTGACCACGATCCCATCTGGTGGTAAGTGGTGATGTAGCCCTAGATGGTAAATCGCACTGTCTTAGCGTAACAAAAGCCTATTCACTCTTGCCTTGAAGGCGCCCAGATTGTATTCGGACGGAAAGATAGACGCTGGCAAATTATTTTACTCCTTTGCTGTACGCATTACAAAAGACGAAGCAAATAATAATGCGTGGAATATCGACAACAAAGGGGTGAAGACCCGCCGACCGCCTGGTTGTCCAATGATGGAAAAGGGGGGAAGGAATTAAAACGTGTAATTCCTGCGCACACTCACCGAAATACATCCTATAGAATACCGGCTATCTTCTCCGTGTTTATAGAAGAATATTAAATTTATATAATGGCAGCACTTAAATATTAAAACAACAAGCGTGCACGTCACAGAGTACTTTTTATATACTGAAATCTGAAATAGAGACGAATCTCAAGCCCAAAAATAAATTCACGAATGTGCTGCCGTCTGGTGGTGTCGGATGAAACAATTTATATTTATCATATAGCTATACTATACACGTAGTATACATAGCTACTATATAGTCCTTTATACTGTACTAAATTATTGTTTCCTTATGTTTTTTCTTTTTTTATTGTAAGAAATTTTTCTTACAATAAGTATAGGTTTTGAGGTAAAAATAAAGTCTCATTTCAGAAAGTTAAGTAATCTATTGAATAAAACGTCTTTTTTACATTTGTGGAAATATTTTTTGGCTTTTATTTGAAACACATCTTCATTATTGTGACACATACAACACATAATTGAATATGAAAAAGCGGCAAGACAAATTTAATAAATACTTATTTTATTTTACATAGCAAGAATCAAAATCTATATGAATTAGTATCAAGATTTTTATTAATTCTTCAACATTGTCTCTATCTAAATATTTTTTAATACTGAATTTGTTATGTCTTGCACTGCAGATACACACACTATAAGAGACTCAGTGGGACTGCAAAGCCACCGTTTACCTGCATATTCCCAAAAGTTAATGATTTCATTTTCTTGTAAGGCGAATATTTTAGCAGTACATTCACTACAATTTTTAAAAACATTTTTAGCACATCTAGCAAAGTATCCACTAACATAATCTAATGCCCCCTTTATATATTGAGCAGTGTTCTCTTTAATATTAATTATATCTACATCCGGGATTGTTTCAAGGACACAGGTTGCAGCAGCTTTGCAGTTATCTGTGATAATAACAGATTCTAAAGCCTTACAATTATCTTTTTCACAATTAGCTCCTGAGGCATGGACATTGGACATATTGTTAATTAAAAGTGTAGTGTTGGCACTCTGAAAATGTTCTGGTGTTGGATTAACATTGCGGCACTCATAGCTTCTAATGGTTCCAAAAAAGTTTTCAATAGGGTCTTGGTTGAGGTGCCGCATCCAAACAGAAGTAATACCATACTTAGTTTCCAATTTTTTAAAAGAATTTATGCACCAAGTTGTGTCCATACCCATTTTTTTGTATGTTATTAATGTATGTTTTTTAATATAGCTTTTGCTTCATTCCACAATTTATGGTGTTCTGAGTTTGGCCTTGCTGGTCCAAGAAGAGGCTTTACATATAGTTTTATTCTTTATTATAGCTGCCATTAACAGAATCGAATACCTTGTCAAAAAAGAGGAGAATTTCGGCAGTTTCCGCTTATTCTCTTGGAAGAATGCCTTTTTCTGAAAAACAAAAAGCTTATTAATCCATTAATAAACACTTGTATTATCAGAGCACAGCAAGTTGTTTGTGACTTTTTTCTTCTTTATTGGCCTATTAAAGTTTACTGCTGGACTTGAGCCTGTCATGCTTGGCAGATGGCTTGATAATCATAGATCTAGACGTAAACACCTTTGATACAGCTTGTCCATCGTCAATTTGGATTTTACGCCTGGCGTAAACGAGATGGTTATACCATCGAATAAACAGAACTCATGAGATTATTTGACATATCTCTTATAACATAACACCCATGGGACGAAATGAGGTGATGGGTTCTCTGTTTTTATTAACATACAATTTTAAGATTAAATACATAATTTAATTTAGTCCTGAATACATAAGACTTAAACTGGACTGATTAAAATAATAGAAATATTTTATTATTATTATTATTCTAATACAAGTACAATCAATTGTGTCAAATACAAATTATTTATTAATAAACTGATATTTTACAGTACACTATTATTATGGTGACGAATTTTTTCAGCACGGACTATAACATTAAATAAAACAAACAATTAATCATCATCATCATCATCGTTACAGACTAAACATAGGCCTCCTGCTTCTTCAATAAAAATCACAAAGCACGGTCCTTAGCCACCTACATCATATACTGGTATGGACGGCTGTAGGCTGATATCCATATTAATATATTATTATATGTAATAAATGTAAGATTGTGGTTTTGAAATTCACGGCAGTTCCGGGCTTCCACTGGAGTGATGACCTCCGAGGTTTTTTTTGAACCAGTGGTAATTAAACAAAAGAGTGACTTTCAATAAGCATTATATATTATAATCTATATTGAATAAACAAGTTTCTGTTTCAAATTGTCGACACTTTTTTATATTTAAATTGAGTATATAAATTATTATAGTTATTTTCTATGTGAAAATTGTAAGAAGTTTGCATAATTTAAAGATTGTTTTATAAAATATTAAATTACGCCGTAAAC